AGTCAAATCGGCTCAGAACAGCGAAGTGAGTCGATATCTCCATGTTAGCTAAAACAAAGATCATTAGCAATGCTAATAATGATTATTATGTGGCTCAAAATATACGCAAGCAATAAAAAAACGAAATGTGACGTAGTTGTATATGAAATTATTTAAAGGTTTAACTCCTTTTGTTATAAAATTCCATCGCTAAAATACTAATGATCAGCAATGCATGATTGCATATTGTATACAAATCTTTGTCATAAGTACGAATAGATGTGTGCAAAAGAATCATTTGAACTCAAGAATTATCTAGCTAGCGAATGGTTGAATGATGTTAGTGCGTGAGTCTTTTTTTTCATGTAAAGTCTTGTCTAAAATGCAACATGGTTAGCTGTTAACCAATCAATGTACGGACATATTTTATACAACTTTATTTGAAGTATTATATATGTAAAATAATATATACATAATATTCCAAAGTATAGCATATTTGTAGTGAGAATAACTTATTTAGATATTTCAAGTGTATCAATTTCCTTCCAACCCAAATCGATGAGGATTTGAGTTTCATGGAGGAGATTTTTTTAATTGTCTATATTTTGCCAACAAAAAAGTTCCCATAATGGGACAATCAAGTCACAAAAAGGTGAGGGAAACAAGAAATGTCCTTAAAAAAAAAAAAAGTTAAGATCCCATAAAGTTTATTTTCTTCTTTTTATTAAAATAAGTGTTTTAACGTATTCCACATGGGAATGTAACTTTGATAACATAAGGTTTAATTATTATCTTAACCAATAATCAAATAAATGAATACCTTTAACAAAATAAAATTAATCTTATGATAACTGTTAATTGATACATAAACAAATTTATATTCAACAGTCAATTGGGTTTTGTTCAAAGTCCAAAATAACCAAATGTATATCTTTTTTTAGATAAAGGAGTTCTTCTGAATTAAATAATTGATAAAGTAGTTTATTAGTTAGTTTTTAATAAATTATTTTAGGATAACTTATTGATAAAGTATATGAAAAACTAAAAACTATCTTTACATCTAACACTCTAAATAACATTACCAACAACACTCTAATTCTACTTTTAAACACCCTAATTCTACTTTTAATCTACATGTTCGGTTTAAGTAGTACTTAAACACTCAACAACATTACCAACAACTTCTTATACAGCTGCCATTTGATAAATAGACCCAATAAAATATAAAAATTTGTCCTTTTAATTCTTCTTCATACTACAATCAAAGACTTTGCCCATAACCGCAATTCACTTATTGATGATATTCTTCTTCGGTCACAAGATTATTAAAACTAAAACATATTTTGCGCAACTAATTTATAATCATATATCATTAATTCATATAATAATTATAAAAAAAAACCCAATCAAACTTCAATTATAACAATAGCATATTATAAAGTTTGAGCTTGACTAATGTTTTATTATATGAAAAGATTTGTTACTTTAAAAGAATTGATTCGAAACATGCTATATACTAAAGTTCGATATTCCCTTAGAGTTTAAATGGCTTTTACAACATAAACAGTTTTAAATTCTGTCCAACTTTTGGAGTGTGCTATGTTTTCAGTCTAGTTCGGTTTTATATGAATTTCAATCTTAAGTGTTTAAGATCTAAAGTTTCCTACTTTCTTGATATACCTTAGTTTTTTATAATACATATCTAATAAAATTGAAAATGGTTTTAATACAATGTGAATGTATCCACTAGCTAACCCCACCCACACACACATTTACCAATAAAAGTAAAACCCCTAAAGAGTGGTTGATCATTAGCATTCAGGGTAGTCAAAGAATTGAGACCACTGATCCATTTTTTTGTATTGGGGGGCAGAGATGACTTCCTCCTATCATTCACCTCTACAACATATGATTCAATTAAAAAGTGATGATGTGATTGTGGTGGAATCAAAAAAGCTTGTCTAATAAAAAAAATAATAAAAAAAGACTTCTTTCAAATGATGACTTCCTCCTATCATTCATCATTTTATTTGTATTCTTGGCTAATGTGTCTTGAACTTTTTGGTGCCAAATACCAAATGATGTTGGTATCTATATCTACATATGACATGAAAAAAGAAATCAAGAGTACCTTGCTTTTTAAAACTCTTTAAAGGGACAACCACCAAACTTTCATGTGCTACTTTAGAAAGAATATAACGCTCAAGAATCTTTGGCAAAAGGAGAACATGTTGTACATTGTCACGGGTTTTCTTTCTTCGTTCAAGCTCCGTGTGAGCTTCGTATCAATGCGACAAAAGTTAATTACATTATTAAGTAAATGGTTGTTTTGCTAGAAGAGTTTTTCGATTTTTGTCAAAATGTATAGAGACATCAAGAAGTTTGATTGGTTTAACAAAGATATATTTCATGGGCAATTGGAGACTTATTGTACCCAATTTTCGACGATGTTGAACTTTGGCCTATCCCATGGAAGGAAAGAAACTAGTAATTTTACACTCACAAAGAATTGAAATTTTCACCTAAACAAACAACTTAAAACGAAGAAGTTATTCAATTTTTAAGACTAAATATGACAAAACAAGATTTCTAGTGACCTTTTCAAAGAAAATGATGAGGGCAAGAAATTCATATTTTCTGAACAGGCGAAAGATTAAGAGCGAGTCACAAGCCTCCACTGTTTTAGATGGGACAAAAGATCATAAATTGTGTCATTGACAACAATCTCAATGTCAATCTAATACATATCAAACACAGTATTTGTTCTATTCCATTTTGCCACGCTTGTTTAATGTTTAATTCTATCATGTTTTTGTTTTGTTTTGTTTCGACCTATAAAACCTTTAAGACAATCATCTAGCCACGACACATCCAAAAGTAAGTCGTGCAAGAGAGAGCCATTCCATTGTTACAAGACATTTCATTGCTTCGTTTACCATGCCTATACATCCGTTTCATTCAACAATTTTGAAGAAGGATTTACACGTATATTTTATCCCAAAACGGTTCAAATTATATAAAGTCATAATATAACATTCATTCAAATCTAAGTTTACAATTTCAAGAATATATGGGTGTCAAGATAATCTGATTACTCCAAAGTCAACTATAACATCCATCCTTCCCTACTCCTATCCAATTTAGGGGGAGTAAGTTTCACTTTCACATACAAGTATTGGAACAAAAAGAATTAGAAGTAACAAAGAATAGGATCAAACTCACAAGAATAAACAATGTGTGGTTGTTTGCCTAAATAGGAGTATCATTCATTCACTAATTTTGCAACCTCGGATATAGGGATGGTCAAACTTGATGTATTTGACCCAATATGAACGATACCTTGTCATAGCTAACTCAAGCCATGGTTTCATGTTACCATTGTAGTGAACCACAGCTGCATTCTCGATATCAATCTTATCAATGCTTGGGTTATACCCTAAACCAAGTACATGCCATGATTTGTCAAGTGGATGTGTAAGCCCATAAAATGTCATTAATCCTGGTGGCAATGTCCCAAGCTTCCATAAAACCCTATCCTCATTCTGTCATCAAAAACCCCAATTAGAAAAAATACAATCAAATACATTTTGCTCCCTAAGTATTATAGATCATTTTTGCAATTTTGGTCTTTTTTTTTTATGATTCGTAACAATGTAACTTTTTGGAAATGACCATTTTGCCCTCCATCCAAAACTGAGGAAAGGGTACACCATAGGGACCAAAATTGTAATTTTATATAACTTTTTTAAGGTTTATAACATTGCAACAATGGTCAATTTTTGGAAAATTCAAAAAAACAAAAAGGTACACCATAGGGACCAAATTTGGTACATGTGTCGTTTAAGTTAACAGCCTAAAAGTTAATTTTTTGAAAATGACCATTTTGCCCTCGATCAAAAACTGAAGAAAAGCTACACCACAGGGACCAAAATGGTCTTATTTTAAAATTTCAAAAAACTATTCTTTATATTTAAAAAAAAAATTACAAAGTTGGTCCTTATGGTATACTGAATTTTTCAGTTTTGGTCCAAGGGCAAAATGGTCATTTTCAAAAAAAAAAATAACAGCAAGACTATTCACTCAGATTAAAAACATTAGGAAACTTCAAAATAAGGACAACATTTGCTAGAGAAAACTTTTTTACATACAATTACAAAATTGCAAAAATCAGCCATTCTAAGGGACTAAAAAGGTAATTTACTCAAAAACTTACCATGCTTTGCCACCTGTGGTAAATTCCAGTTATATCCCTCTTCTTCCACTGCTTGAGATCAAAAACATTCATCCCATAAGCCCATCCACATGCATTAGGGTCAAAGCTACGGGCAATATGGGGATTTGAGAAATTTAAATACTTATCAAAGCGATGAAAGCTTTCACCACATGTTTCAACAGCCCCGTTGACTTTCCCATGAAGGTCAACCTTCCACAACCCAGTCAAATCTTTTTGAACAACAATGTCATCATCAAGAAAAAGGATCTTGTTTAATTTAGGATAAACTTGTGGGAGATAAAATCTGAGGTGATTTAACATGGAAAGATATTTAGGGTTTCTGTATTTTAGATTTGAAGATCCAGCTGAAAGGGTTGTGTGATGATCTGCTTTGAAGTAAAACTCTTTCATTGCAGCAGATTCTAGTTGTTTAAGAACTGGACAATATGATGAATTTAGCCATTTGAATTCATCAACATTTTCTACATGAATTGTGGCTTTTCCTGGAGGATTTAATAAAAACCACATGTTCATTGCTCCAAAGTTTAATTTATCAGAAACAAGATGGAAAACATGTTTCTCTGGTTCCTGTGTATGTGTTTCAAAGAAACATAAATTAGTCCATGAAAACAACAAAACAAAAAAAGAAAAACTTATCAAAGTTGCTATTTTATCAACATTCATTCTTTATTCTTCTGTAAAACTTGTTGCAGAAATCGCCTAATTATCAGTTTGTGGTGATCATTAATTAAATTCTTATAGTAATTATTACTTTTAAATTTGTTTAATCGCTAAAATGACCAAAATAGGTGGGGCCCTGTTACAAAATAACCACCTTTTGAACATTCGATACAACCACCCATTTCAAGAAATTCACAAAATTCGTTTTTTTTTTTTTCATGAAATGGCATCATTTTTAACAAAGTAATGTCGTTTTGCAAAAAAAAAAATTAATAATAAAGATTTTTGTAGTGGGGGCTATTCATATAGCAACTTGCAAAAGAAGAAAGGCATTTGCAAATTGAGTGGTCTTTTTCTGATAAATGTTCAAAAGGTAATTATTTTGTGATAGGACCTCCATAAGTCTTTTAAATTTTTTTTTTTTTCAAAATTTCGGATAAATGTTCAAAAGGTAATTATTTAGTGATATGACTTCCATAAGTGTATTATTGATTTTTCAAATCATGATGTTTGGCTTCAACTTTGGGCATAAAAAAACCAGCACATGAAATCTTTTGTCCAAAATCACTCATTCTTTCTGTTTTCTTCTACATTATTCCTTAAAAGAGCATAATAATATTTGCCACAATGACATCCATTATCCATAATTACCTTAGCATTCATGATTGTAGAGTTGACAACAACAGATGCAGCCAATACATTATCAGAGAAAAGAGCATAATGATATAGACTTGGATTTTCAAGATTCTCACTTCTTGGAAACTTTCTTTTTTCAGGTGAAAGAAGATAATACTCAATTGTTAAACGCATTGATAAGCAATGAATTCCATTTGGAATTGTTTTAGCTGCTAATTGGCTTAAAAAAGTGCTTTGCTTTTTCAAGCTTCTAACTTGTTCATCTGCAGATTGAAGCATAGCTCTCAACTTCCCTGTAACTAACTTGCAATCATAAAGTTGATCTCTAGCTTTTGATAACAATTGTCCCATAGCTTTTATTTTCTCTGGGGCACTAAATTGAATATCAAGAAAGACACAAAAAGTTATAAAAAAAGATTTTATGAGTTGAATATCAATAAATTATTTTGATATGATACCTTTGATTAAGATCATTATCAGTTGTTGCTTCTCCTAAAGCACGTTGACTTTCTTTAATTCGGATTTGTAGCTCATGAGCCATGTTTGTTTTGTTTTTCATAGTTGCAATGCTTACATAAACCCTAGCCATTATGATTTGATCTCTTATCAAACGAACAGTTGTATCTATATTCTCATTATCAGCCTCTTTCCTCCATATACTATACTTCCCCAAAACAGCAGAATCAACTGATTTGGATCTTTCAATTGCTGCATTTTCAAGCTTTATACTTACATCTTCATCTTGTTTCATTAAACCAGCTGCTCGTGTTTCACGCCTTTTGTCTCTCAGTTTCTAAAAGATTACAAGAGTAAGTTTTTAATCATTTGGAAGAAACGAGTGATTGTTCAGTTGAAAGTACAAATTTACCCTTCTTGCTAGCATTGTGGGTGTCTCCACGTATTGAGAATGATCATCTGCATTTGAGATTTGAGAATATAAACATGAATGTGAATTTGAATCTTATAGTCTTATGGAAACATTAGTGTAAAGAACATTATTACCATCTAAAGAACTATCTTGTTTGCCTTTTGGGGTTTCTTGTTTATTAGTTGCCACATTCTGATATATGGGAATATGTCAGATCATATAAGAGAACAAGAAAGAAATGGAGAATGAGTTATATACAAACCTCAGAAGAAGTTGAACTAATATCAATCACATTTTCTTGTCCTGAAAACTTCCAAGAAGCTGAAAAGTTTTGTTTACGAAAAGAATCAAGACTCAAGGGTCCTAAGTCATCTGTGTTGGCCTTGATGACATCAATAACCTAAAAAACATACACTTATCAACACACTGAAATTAACCTTAGAGTAGTGAAAGAAGAGTTAAAGTGTAGATCTTTCAATGAATAATGTATTAGTAAGACAAAAGTTGAAAGTACTTTGATGTAATAGAAAGAAATGAACATAGAAGTTAATGGTTTTTAGTAACATGCCTCCTTTGAGAGAAGAGATTTGATGTGTTGCAAAGCAAGTTTGGTTCTCCAATCTACATCCTGCATTTCTCAATGAAGGTGAGAATCATAAGATTTGAGATATGGATAATGTAAATATAAAGAAACTTACTTGTTTATTATTACTACTTGAGGAATCATTTTGATCTGCACACAAAAAGAAAATAGACACCTGGCTTTTTAGAATTAAAAAGACATCAATCAAAGTGTTTGAACATTTCAAAGATCAACTAAGCAATTAACATGTTTCACAACAAAGAGAGTTGTGTTTACATAGAAATATTCATAAGGGTCTATTGGTTTCCACTATTTACCTTCATACTAAATGGGACTTATTGTGATACATTTATTTCTCTTCACATCATACAATGAGAATCTTTAAATGAAAGGGTGAAAGTAAAGAGTGTATAATCAAATATGGAGGCAGAGCTATCAGTCACCAATCAATGCCAGCAACATTGACTATGCATCTTCTAGTTTCTTGTTTTCACAAGAACCTCTAGGTTTTCCTATAATTTTCATCACAATAGATCAACCTTTTTATAGTTAAAAAAAACTTAATTTCAATCTGTATAAAGTATAAACCACACAACTTAGACAATGCAAACAGCGATATGTAATGTTGAACAGGGCAAACAATCGATTACATAAAGCTCAAAATAGTAAAAATGGCAATTGGGGAAATCCCCAGGAAATATATTTGACAGGAAATCAGAGTATCCACATAGAAATCAGTGAAGTATAACGATTAGACTGATTACTAACCAATTGAATCAGCCGAATAAATCCCACGTCCAACGAAGAACACCATGGGAGCAAGAACTAAAATTAACACAAGGGTGAACACTGGAAAACGAGATCCACCACCACCTCTGTTTCTATGGACGCCGAAACTTGATACCCCCCTCTTGATCGCCATCTGCAATAAAAAAACCCTAATCAAGAATATTCAAGAGCAAAAAAACCCCAAAAAGTTGCACCATTTATCGGGTGTCTACGCATAATCACACACAGATATAAAACTGTCGTACTGGAGTCCGAGGGAGGAAGATAGATCTTGTTATGGAACTTGCTTCTTAGATCAATAATGTCATTTTACTACGTTGCTTTGAAAAATTGGGCATAAAGATCAGTAAAGTGAGGATTTTCAACCCCTAGGGCTATGAAAGCACTGTAATTGGAGTGCAGGGAAAGGGGCTTGTGTTTTAAGCATACAAATCTAATGAAGATTTTCAACAGATTTTGAACGATTTCTTGACTGTGATTCGTACTAATTTCCTGTTTATCTTCCACATCATAACAACGCCATTTATGTCAGGGCTTTGTTAAAGATTCTGAGATATTTTCATTTACATCCCTTTGCTTTACTCTATGTTTATTTTACACCTCGTGTAAGTTTCCAACTAAAAAGTATTGGTCACCTAAAATATTTGGAAAATTACCGCCTATAATCAAATTTTTGATGGTAACATTTTCGAGTATAAACATACATTCCATAAAGGATCCCCTGCGGAACAATGAAATCTCAGTGGAAGGTAGAATGTTGTACTTTTTTATTCATGAAATATTAGTCCGCATAGATATCTCCGCGGAGGGATTAGTTTGGTTGTTCAATAAATCCTTCGCGGAGGAGGTTACGAGGGGCTCCACGCAGGCCTTAAAATCTCTGCGGAATTGGTTGTTGCAAGGCTTTTATCGACGATTTTTTGTTATATAAACAATTTTTTTCATTTTTTTGATCAATTTGCAATATTATATTGGTTTTAGTGTTAGAAATTTGTTTTCAAAGAAAATATGAGTTTGTTATTTTATGTACGGGGGGCTTTTGGTAGATGAGTAATGAGATTAGCACCTACGTTAGACCAAAGTTTAACAACTTAGGTGTACTACTTCCGATAAATTTTGATTGTCGAATATTTGTTTGATTTGGTCAAAAGTAATGCTAATGTGTTCAATAGTAATATATCATTGTCATTTTAACATCCGGTTCATGGGTATGTTATGAATATTGTAGACAAAGCAAATGTTCATCAACTCAGAAATGTAATTTCTGAAACGAAGGAGATTATACATTTGTATTTGGAGGTGTTTGAGGGACGGGTCGAACAGACAGACGCAGTTGACAAGATTATACCATACAATGTTGAAAACATTGTATCTGATAATGTTGAAGAGTGTCCAAAAGAAGAAACAGTGGCAGTGAATACAGTAGAAGAAGAAATTTTATATAAATTTGGAAGACTGTGTGACAAAACTTTGTCAGACGATGAAGATTCAAATGAAGGCTGGTCAGAATATGAGTTCACACACAGAAAAAAGAAAAAAAAAAAAAAAAAGCTTCAGACATCTTTTACGATATGCCTCCCATACCTGATTGTCCTAATCCTATTGTTGAACCTAGACCATTTCACAGTTTAGGTCCAAATGATGATATGTTTGTTCGTCAAACGTATGATAACAAACAACAACTAATATTTGTTTTGAGTCTTAAAGCAACCAGAGAAAAGTTTCAGTTTAAGACCAAACATTCTAACAAAAACCGTTATGGGGTATATTGTGAAATTGAGAACTATAATTGGCGTTTATATGCAAAATGCATTAATCCCACTGATGAATTTGAAACCATGACTTTCAACAACGTGCACATATGTCCGTCATTACAGATACACCCAAATCATAAGCACACAAATAAAAAAGCCATGGGTACTATATTGCATTAGATTATGGGAAAAACTCATTCCAAGGTTTTGAGGCCTAATGAAATATCAAGGGATTTGAATGCTTTGCTGGAAATCAATGTAAGTTACAAACAAGTTTGGCTTGCAAAACAATATGCTATGGAACTGTTGTTGAGATCCTCTGAAGAATGTTTTTCCAAACTTCCTATTTATTTTCACAATTTGAAGAGGCATAATCCCGGTATAGTGGCCTATATACAAACAGATTCTGAAGATTGTTTCGAGTGTTGTTTTTATGCTATTGGGAGCACGGTAAATACAAAAAACTTATTGTTATTTAATAAATACTTATTTGTAAAAAAATGTAGAGTGTTTATGTGTTCCCTTTTATATATTGCAGATACGAGCGTTCAAATATTTTTGTCGTAAAGTCATAATTATGGATGGTGCCCATTTGAAAGGTGATTTTAAGGGAACCATATTGCGTGCAGTAGCTATGGATGGGAACAATCAGATAGTGCCCCTTGCACACGGAATATGCAAAAAAAAAATAGTGGTCTTTCTTGGATATGTTTTATTGAAAAATTGTATGAATGCGTTGGTGATTGTCAAGATTTGACGTTTGTAACTGATAGGGCCGATGCAGTTCGGGTTAGTATTGAAAATGTTTCCCATACGCTCATCATGGTGTGTATGCTTTTCATCTACTAGGAAACATAGTACACAGGTTTGGAAAAATGATAAAACAAAAGTGTTGTTTTGGAGGCTTGTGAGAGCTTACAAAAGAAATGTATTTGAAGATTTGTCGTATAGATTTAGTTCTACTAGGCCGCAAGTAGCGGTATATCTAAGTGAAATTCCACGTGCTAAATGGACTAGAGCATATTCCCCATCGAAATTGTACGATTACATGACTTCGAACAGTGCAGAGTCCATGAATGCTCTATCTGTAGATGCAAGGAAGATGCCTATAATACCCCTCTTTGAGTTCTTTTGTCGTCTTTCACAGGAATGGTGTAACAAGCATCGCATCGATGGAGGTATGACTTTAATTATGTCGAATATTAAGTTAATTATATATATCTTCTTTACAGGGAAACGTTCAACAGTGCTAACGGAATGGGCTAAAAAAGTAATTAGGAAAAATGAAGAGCGTATGACAGGATGGTTTGTTTATGGTGTTTTAGATGCAATATATCAAGTGCATGATTTCAAACATGACGGCATAGTTGATCTGATACAAAAGACTTGTTATCACAACTAGCAAATTTGGCTAGGAAATTCTATCCTTTTGTAAACAATATCAATGACAACAAATTGTAACCTTGACCTGATAATGCATATGATGTTATTCAATAACAACAAACTTTCATCAAAAGCTAATTATAAAGCCCAAACTTCATGCAAAACACTACAAAGATCAAATTAGGGTTTGGAAACTCTAAGAATCATGGCTTAAGTCCATTTTTAGATTAGGATTTCCTTATTAGGCCTAATGGGCCAATAAGCTTTCAATTTGATTGTTTTGGGCTTAGAACTCTTAATTGGGTTCTAATTGGATCCACTTTCATGAGATTTAACATTTTGGGCCATAATGGGCCTAAAATGAAACAAATTACCCTAATAGGCCTTGTTGGGCCCTAACTAACCTAATTAGCCTTAATGGGCCATAAAACCCATTCTTTATGCTAATTGGGCCGTGATCCATCCTTAAGAGCCCAATGGGCCGAAAAATAATATTGGACCTATGGAAATTCGATCAAAGCCAAGATTTGAGCCCAAAATCAATTTCCTTCATTTCATTTAGCCATTCTCAGCCCAAGCTAGAAAAAAGAGAGAAATGAGTGAATAAATAATACTTTTACACATCATTTTTATTTATGGGTTAATTTGGAAATTACCCAACAAATAACCACACACAATCTCATGTATCCATGCATTTCTCTCTTTCCCCCTCTCTTTTTCTTTCCTTCGGCCGAGAGACAAGAGGCACACCCACACACACACTTCTTCAATCCTTCTTCCAAAAACTCTCTCAAACACTCTCAAAAGTCTTTCCAAATTCTTACAGAACTAAGGTGCATTCAAGAGGATCTTTCATTAGATCATCAAATCTTTGGTAAGTTACTATAACTCCTAGATACATAAACTTCATTTTAAGCTAGATCCTTCTACTTAAACATTTTATTTCATGATCCATACTCTAATATTCCATAGAACTCGAGATTTACAATGGAGAGTTTGTAAAAGCCGAAAATCACATCACTTTCTTCCATATCTTCTTCAAAATCGAATCCAAACCTTCAAGGTGAGTTCATACCCCCTTGTTTTTTATTTTTACTTGTTTCTTGGGGGAAAATACAAGTGTTATGTGTTGATCTAGGTGTGTATGCATGTTATGTGTGATTTCTTTTGTTATTGTTGTGAAAAAATGTGATAATGCTTGATATATTTCGAAATCTCTAGTATAAATGAGAAAGACTCATAAACAAAATCATATTAAACAACATACTTCAAGGATCTAAGTGTTTTTATGTATAAGAAAGGAAAAACATAGCAAAAGATTGTATAAGTATCATTTTTGCAAAAATAACAAAGATATGGGTAAAAGATGACCATTTTCGGTTTTATAAGGGTTATATGGTATTTATTTATATGAAATCTAATGTTATGGAAATAATACATTTCAAGGGGTCAAAAACATAAAAATTAGTCTATTAGGCTTATATTTGGGCCTTATGGGTTGTTGGGCCCAAAATTGTAAAAATAAGAGGTTTTGGGGTTGAAATTGTAAATTCATTTAAAGTATGAGTCAAAAACACAAACAAACTATTTCAGGGGCTGAAAATGATCTTTAATGCAAGAATTGAACTAAAATGCAAAGTTTTTAGAATTTGGATCAAAAATGTAAAACTTACGAAATTTGGGGCTAAAAGTGTAACCCTTTTTACAAATAAGGGTTGGAAATATCAAGTAATATATTTTTGGGCTGAAATTGTAATATAAATTATGTTTGGGCCAAAAATGTCAATAAAAGTAATTTAAGGACCAAAAATATTATTTTTCATCAAAAGGGACTAAAAATGCTTTAGTAAGAAATGACTAAAAATATAACTTTATATGAAAAATGGGCTAAAATGATCGAATAAATATTTTGGGGTCAAATATGTTAATATTAAAACAATTGAGCCAAAGACATTAAGTTTATAACACATAACACATGGATTTATATATATATATATATATATATATATATATATATATATATATATATATATATATATATATCCTTATAACCAAAGTGTCGTTACAATTCAACGTCAAGTGTTTTACTATTGAAAATAAATACTAAGCATAAAACGAATTCTATATTACAAACATATCGAAGAACGGAGAAATAATACAATGATTGCCCATAATGTTACTCATTGTGTTCATTGGGCCTTCGTGGTCCAATTTCACAATTATTAGCCCCAATATAATCAAAACATGTTTATTGGGCTTCCGGTGACCCAATTACATGCCCACGGGACCCTCTATGGCTTTTACATGCTATTGGGCCTTAGTGGCCCATTTGCATTGCTAGTATGGTCCAAATCAAACATATGCTTAATGGGCTAACGTGTCCATAAGCATACTCGACTGCCTATAAATAACACACATGATTAGTGGGCCACATCGTCCTTTTTCGTGTTTGTTAGGCTTTATTCTATACTATGTAAACATCAAACGGGTTGTAATCAATGTCATTCAAATTCATGGGGTAATATTGGGGACTTAGTGAGAAAATATCGGTCGGCACCAATAAGT